TGTGGTGTGTGTAGGACTCACTGTGACTTGATAATTGTACCAGTGGTCTTTAGACCTCAGGGGGAAGTAATGAGCCCACTAGAGACTGACACATCATAGTGAGGCCAAAAAAAAAAAAAGTTAGACTAGAAAAAGAAGGCAGCATTTGAATGGTTCACAAACAGAAGCAGTCAAAGTATCATAACATGTCATGCACATGTTACTCAGTAGATTCATTAGATAAGTTTACCATGTTGTAGTAGTGTTAGAATACATAATGAGTATCAGTATGCCCTACATAGAGCAGTCAAGTAACGCCTCATAAAAAGTAGTATGCAACCAATGGTCACAACCATTGGTAACATTAGATACCAGCATCTACTGTTCTAATAAAAATTGTAAAAGAGTAAAAAGAGAAATGCATCATAACAAAAGGAATAACAGGCTAAGGAGGACAGCGAAGCAAAGTGAGTTACAATAATCAAGTCGGGCGTAATTTAAAGGGAGTATTAAAAGTCTCAAATTACTGGGTGTAAGGCAAGGCACCGATTAAAATGTTCCTTAGATGAAAGAAACAAGATTTGGATCTTAGAGCCTCACAAAACAAAACAAAACAAAAAACAAACAACAAAAAAGGTTCTCAGTAGAATATTTGATATTGTTGGCAGGGGGGCTGGTGTAATGACCGACCTCACTGGAGAAAATTTCATGTCCTAACACAAGAATCTCAGTTTTTCCAGAATTCAAATGGAGGAAATTTGAAGGCATCAGATTGGTAATGGGAGAGAAGCATTCACTGAGGTAGGAGAGGCTACTGAAGTTGCTTGGCTTAATAGAAAAGTATAGCTGTTTATTATGAGCACAGCCATGACAGAAGTTCCTAACATGTAGTGAAAAAAAGGTCAACAACACCAAGCTTTGAACCTTGAGGGACGCCACATGTAGGTGGTCAAAGTAAGTCAAAGTAATGAAACCACTTGTAGTTATGACATGGGTTAAATAAAAGTAAATTCCAACTACTCTCACACATTTTTTTTTCTTACCTTGAGCTCCTCTGTCATGTTCTCAAATCGGTACAACACCTTATAAGGTGGTGGAAGGGGTGTCGTCAAAGTGACCTCATTGATGATGCGTAACAGGCGGTCCATATCGCTGATTAACAAACCAGAGCACTCATCATCGCAGGCTGGAGAAACAAGTCAAGACACACAGTTAGATGTAAGGCAGTGAGTCATGAGGGCAGCTAAAACCACAAACAGTCATTATGGGTTTGTGTCTGTGTGTGAGCTGACATGTTAACTTTTCGAGAAAGTTTGAGTTTTGAGTGCATTTTTACAAGTGAATGTGTGTTTATATGAGCGAGCTCAGAAACACATCAATAAGGGACTGTGGACTGTGCTTGTGTTTTTCTGTTTAAGTGGCTCTGGCATCAGAAAGACAGGGCTGGTGATGCATGAAATTCAGCGCGCAGGGGCAAAAGTGCCTACTACAAGTACACACTGCAGGCTAAAAACACACAAACAGACACCCACACACACAAATATGCACGGCGCACACCAGGGAATTCACTAAGACACACACACATTCTTCTATATCGCGTGTGTATGAATTTCTTTGCCTTCTGCAGCCTGAGGCTGATTTATTACACAAATTAAAATTTCTGACAAGGGAAATCAAAGAAAAATTAAATAAAATAAAAACAGTTTCTACTCTATCAATCTCTGACAAAACAGCAAAACACAAATAAACCCATGCGTTCATGCAGTTTAATGCATACACACAAACCCACACATATATGCGCACACAGTGTACTGTATGCAGACTACATTGTGTATGTGGGAGTAAATAGCTGCTTGTCAAATCAAAGCTATTCAAGAAGCTCACTGATGAAGGATTGCATTCACTAACTTCAGCACTGAGGGAAAACATTTTGTACCACATAGATGGAGCTTGTAAGCAGTATGTTCGAGTCTGCTGATAGTGGATTTTAATAATGACACACAATATTATTGTACATGTGTGAGTCACTATACAACGGCAGTTGTTTTATCACTGCAAACATTTCCAGTGTGCCATTGAAATGATATATATATTTACACCAAGCAAGTGTAATATTATAGTGTAAATGTTTTTTATTGAAGTGTGATAATTATAGTAAACTTCTATTGATATAGTAAATTATATGAGATTATAAGAGTTGTAAGGGTTACAAATGAAATGCAGTTTATTTAGTAGGTAGGTTTTGTAGGTTTCAAAACACCACTGAATTTAAAGGTGTGGCACTAAGCAAGTTCACAGAAACAACAGCGCAAATGTCCCCACCTGTGTATATAAACAAAAACTTTATATACACAGACAGAAGAAAAAAGATGGACATTGAAGTTTGATTATAACATGAAAGTTATACTAATCACCAAATTTATGGCCAAAATAAGCAATTTTCTAATGACTTTACAGTCAAGTATTTTTAAGTTTGAAAAGTATTATTTCAGGGTGGGACTAAAACCAAAATGAATCTGTATATCCCTCAGTTTCCCTCATGTGATGTCTGGATCCATAAAAACAGGACAGTAATGGTCAAAATGTTCCACCCACCAACAGTTTCCATCTTCTGAATACTCAGTGATCAATATATTGTGTTCCCAATTATTTTGCATCAGACTGATAAGTCCAAAGTCAGGTTGTCTAAATTAAACTTACAATACTTAAAATATTTGTCAGTTTTTGACAATGGGAAAATTAATTGAATTATTTAATTTAATAGGGAAGCCCATTGCAGTCACATTGTAATTCAGTTTAATCTCATTTAGAAGTAAAAGTAAGTAAAACTTTATTTATATAGCACCTTTCAAGATAAAAATCACAAAGTGCTTCACAGAAGCTAAAACCTA